ACTGCTGTCTAATAATATGGAAGATTAATACTCCATGCTGCGTAAGTTGCAAAAAGCATCCATTTGGATTTAAGTAACTTGTAACTGTTGCTACACTAAGAGACCTTGAAGTTCCACTAGGAATTTTACCTGTAATTATTACAGGAAGTGTGCAAAACAAGAATTCTATAGTGCAGGAGTTTTCAAAGTTGGGTCACAGGCCTGCCCAGATAAGCCACTGGGAGGCCACAAGAGGCTTTGTTTAATCTAAGCATCCAGAGGCATGGAGCTTCACAGCTCCCATTGGGCTGAGCAGCTGCTTCCCACAGCTCCCCTTAGCTGCAAATGGCAAACCACAGCCAATGTGAGCTGGAAGGCTCCATCCCTGTGGACACTTAGATAAACAAAGCCTCTTGTGGCCACCCAGTGGCTTACCCAGGTGGGCCCGTGACCCAACTGTGACAGGTGCGGTCAACAGAAGATCCCTGGGGATGCTTCCCAGGGTGCTGAAAAGGTCACTGCCTTTTGCCTTCCTGCTCTCTGGGGCTTCTCACTACTACCCTGTTCTGCTGGGCCAGCTCCCTGGTCTCCCCCAGCCACGGCGCAGAGCTGAGATCACTGCCTGCCCCCCCTCGAGGAGCAGTTCAGACACAGACTCTTTAGGTCCAAGGAAAATGCAGTTTAGAACCCAACTTCCCAGGATACCACTCACCAAATGGGATCAGAACCCCAAATGAATTATTTAGGTAAGCCCCCTTTAACAATGAAAGGGGCAATGTACACACAGATTGCTCCCCCAGGTAACAATTATTTACACTGGGCTTGATAGTAAATAAAGGTGATTTTATTAAGTACAAGCAGTAAGATTTAAATGGTTATAAATGAGAAGATTAAAAACTCAAAATAACAGAAAACGTTTAACTAATTCTAAAACTAACACCTCAGTACAAACTCACTACAAACTCACCCTCAAACTATTCTTGTTCCAGCTAAGCCTTCAAACCAGGGAAGTTCCTTTTCGCTGGGGTCTTTGGATCATCCTCTTGGGTGTGCTACATCAGCCAAAAACAAAGCCTAAGTTTCCCATGTTTTATCGATTCCACTTTTACATGGGAAGTTACTTGGCCAGTCCCTACCAGTTAGGGAGGTCACATGACCAACCACTGCTAAGACTTAAAGGACAAAAGGGGCTGTTTACATATGATTGCCCAGACATTGAGGTGCCCCAGCATTGGAAACACCCTTGATGGCTTTCATTTGTACTTTTACAATACATACATACATACATACATACATACATACATACATACATACTTTACACTCAGGAATAATATTTACACCAAAATAAGATTTATACAGACCCAGTGAGTTAAGACATTAAGATTGATAGGTTACAGGAGGCAATTTGTCCCAAGCATCTTCAAGTTATGTATATTTATGTCCATAAGTCCATTTCATAAAGCTTGGGGGGGGCCGTCACCCCAACTTTGAAAACCCCTGTTCTCATGCATTTTAAGATTTGCCTTGGCAGACAACAATTAATAGGAACAAAACACACCACATATTGTACTCTGAGTTTTTTTGCCATGATTCTGCATGAATTGTGGTCATACATAAATGTCCTCTTTTTTGAACTAGTATTTATGACAACCCCCAACTTAGCTGCTAGCAATTACATCCATTGTGAAAGATTGTACTTGGAAAAGAGTTTTTTCAGATAATCACAAAAAACAGACAAATAAAATACAATCAATTATGTTGCAATAAGTTAGCCTTTCAAAGTATCCTTGGTTATTTTACAGATACAAAGGCTATTAATTCAATGTTAGACATATTTCAAAATGTTGCTGGCAAACTTATTTAATATAATTTCACTAATCTAGAAAGTTACCTTTTTCTGCCCCATCACAAAACTGCTTCAGAAAAAAGGTCTCAAACTATTCTGGACTTTTCTTATCTTTGATCTCCAGCATAGAGGCAGCAGACCAAGATTAATCTCAAGTCTACTGAACCATGAAGTTGTCTACATATGAAATCAGACCATCAGTGAACTAGAGTTAATCACATAGAAGGACATGCTGACATCATAGCCCAGCACAAACTTATCCAAAGAGCACTAAAATTGCATCACAGGACAGCATTTTAAAACGTCTCTCACCCCTTTTACTCTACAGTAACTGAAACAAAATTTTGTCCTACAGATAGAGGAGAGGAATGGGAAATGCGAATTAGACTCCATCATTTGGGCATCCCCTGCTCCCTGTAGATGATCTATGTAATGAGGGTCAGTAACATGGAGTCAGCCAATAGGGCCTCTACAGAGTAGAGGCCTGTAACATGAAAGCAGCAACAGGCCTAGAATCTAGTAAGCAAGACTTTGGTTCAGGAACACAGGATCCAAGAAAGAGGCCCTACTGGTAACTGTATAATTGTGTAAGTTACGTGAAACATGGAAGGACACAGGGAAGCACCAAGTACAGACTAAGCCAAAGGGAGTAACGGAACATCTGAATAAGAAATGTCTTAGTACAAAGACTCCCCAAAAACTAATGTACATACCGACCTAGGTTCAGGACCGGGTCGAGATTGACAGCATGAGGCATAGTAAGCAAGCCCCCCTTCCGTAAGGTGAGGGGTGGTAACTAGGCAACAGAGGGGGGTAACCTGGTACGTAAAGAAGTGATGTAAGTTGTTTGTACCTGTCTATAAAAGGACACTGCAAAGGGTGCTCTCCAGCCGACCATGGGGAGGCGGGGGGGAAGGAGACAGGACGGGACACACTAGGCGCCTGAATGGCAGGTGTCATTGCCTAATCTTACAGAATGCACAGTAGCTTAACTCTGATTGACTGCTGTTAATATCTGTTATACAGCAATAGGCCTGCTCGGTGTTGGTACCTTGTCAACGCGGGTCATAGTGCCCAGAGGTGTAACATTGTACTGATCTCTGTTACCAACTGGTAGAGCTTCGCATTTGACAATAAACCTGCTTGACTGATTTCAAAACTTGCCTGCATCTGTCATTTCCGGGGCCTCTCAGATCTCCTGTGTTGACCCAAGTGCACGAGGTCTAACACTCTAGATAAAGGGAGCACCAATTGTTATGCATGCAGCCAAAAGTTTATAATCACCGACAAAATAGAGGTCCTGTCAGGAGCGAGCCAGGACAACCCTGACCAGCTGACGCTGACACTGACAGTTCAAACCACAGAAGGTACTGAGGAACAGAACACTGAGGTACAACAAATCTAATTTCTGGAGGAACAAATTACAGAGATATTACATTTTAAATCCACAGCATCATTACAGATCAAATTCATGCCTAGTGTAACACACATTCAATAGTTTGATTCTTAAGTGGACTTACAAGTTAACTAGAATGTCAAGCAGACTGATTGCTCAGGTAGGAGTCATTATTTGTCTTCACTAAACTGTATATGAAAGCAAAGATCTTCTGCGTGGCCTGTCATGGTAACATTTTTTCATCTAGAAAACTAAAGCAGCAGATCTAGTACATATGCTGGTAATACAGCTTTCCTCTGCCCACACTTGGCTCCTAACAGCTCACACTAAAACCTTTTGTTTCCTGACATTCTTCTATGTTGCCTCTTCTACCTGGAAGATCTACCTTCTCCACATGAAACTTTTCCTATTAAATCCATGAGTAATAGGTGGCAGATTAAGAATGAGCAATGTAATCTAAAAAGCCTGTTTGCACAGCATGCACAAGACCAGCCTGCCTGAGGCTACAGTAGAACCTGGAAATGCAAACAATGAATAGCATCATCCTGTGTGCTGTTAGAACAATTCTCTTTCTCTAGTTAACAAGAGGCTACTCCAAGCAGTAATGTGCCTGAGAACCAAAAACTGATAGCTACACATGGAGTGTTGAACATTTTTATGCAGAGGTGTAAACAAAATTTTAAAATAATTTATGTAATATAACCTCTATTTTAATTTGTAATTTAAGCACTTATTCACAAGACTAACTTTTTTTTTTTTTTTTTACAATTTTAAAATACATAGTAGAAAAGATTACCTGAAATGTTACATCATTAATGTAACATCTGGAAATGCTAAATCTCATGTCTCGGAAATGAAAATATGATTTGGAGTATGATTTTATTCATAGCTGTAAAATCAGGAAAGTAAGCCAATAACCTCTGTAACACCCTAAAGTCTAAAAGTCAATGCATGTATCTATTCCCCTATAACAAAATTAAAAGCTATACAAATATTCTGCTTGGTTTAATACCTAGCCATTTTGATTTTTGCTATTAACCTTACTAGAAGAGCCAGAACTGCAGGAACACCGCTGACACAAACCTGGGATTGCACAATCTCTGCTTTACAGTTTACAGCATTTGCTGACTTTCCAAATACTAACAAGAAGCAGGTCAGCGCCACAACCCCAGATGTGCTCAAAGAATACAAGATTAGTTTTTCTGAAAAAAGGAACCAGAAAAAGAAAGCTGGGAATGAAGGGAAGAGATGGAAACAGAAAAGAGGAGGAAGGTACAGCTGTGTTGTGCAGTAAACTTGAAATACATTGTTGCAGATTCCACAATTACATGCCAAAGTTAAGACATATCTGTTTCTCCTGTAGGAAGCAAAGATCAACAACCTGTACTAAAGAGACAAGTGCAGCCCTGCAGGCCCAATTACCAAGCCAAACGGGAAACATCCAGAACATGGGTTACCCTGAATACAGTGTAAAACATACATATTTAATGTCTGCATGCATTTAATAAAACATAGATGAGCCAATCCGAAAGTTTTCCACCATTGCCACCAACCTCTTCAGCAACTTCCCTAAAATAAATGACACACCATATTGTAAGTAGTTGGGGAAAGCATATATTCTACCTGCCAAGATTCCCACCGCTCACTCACTCGAAGCAAAACGTGTCCAAGAACTTTAGATAACTAGCAAAACAGGAGAAGCTCTCAGAGACCCAGACACAGCCTCTGCAGGAACTGCAGCATTATCAACTTGAAAAATCACTGAGGTTAATCACCCACCTTGAACACCTCAGAGAAGAAACCAGAGCCTATTTTCTCACAGGTGAAGTCATCAAGACGTGTAAGTCTGGAAAAGGCACTTATCAGGGCTCTGTACGAAGAGGTCCAAACTCTCCCCACTTGAGAGACAGTCCCGTCACCTCCGCCACCCCCATCAAAGTCTTCAATGCGTTCCAAGCGTGGTGGAAATCCTGCTATTGAATTCCGCTTACTTCGATCCATTTCAGAAATTAAATGGTTCTTTATGAAAAACAGATCTCTCACATCTTAGGTGCTTGAGTAGTTTTTCTTCTGCTTTGGTGGGATGCTAAAAAACAAAAAGAAAAATTACATAAACTTCATTAGCTGCTAGCATCAGGGACATATCCAAAAAGAACCCAACACATCATTCACACCTCTTTAGCCTCACAAATTTAACTCATTAGGAAAAAAAATCAGATCCTACTAAGCATACAAAAGGGAATAACATAGTATTGGCAATGAGATGGACCAGATCACTTTAAATGACTGTTCCCAATTTTAGATTCCAGAAATGTATTTTAGCCATAAGATAAAACACACAAAGTATTGGGATCCAAACACAGTAAGAAAAATCCTTCTCCTAGTCATTAAGTTTTTTGTATTAGACAAATAAAATACATTCTCTAATTCACTAAGGTTTTTTAATACTAGTTTTATGGACCCAACAAGAAAATGTTTTATGCTTCAACCTTACTGTGGTAACAGTTAAGGAACAACTCTCATAATTCTGCTGCCAATAAAAGAAAACCACTCAGCAATAGGAGTTTATTGACAATCCCTGGACCCAAAAAGAGCATATCAAAATCAAATTAAGGACAATTTTTATTATCTGTCACTAGTAGCAGCACCCAACATCCTTTTTCAGGTTACCATATACGACCATTTCAGGGCCAAATGCTCAGCTCCATTGAAGTCAGAGCTATAACATTTGAAGATTTAACCTCAAAGCCATTAGAACATCAATGATGTTACCACAGAAAGTAAAATTCCAGAGTAGTTTGGGGGTTCTTTTTTCTTTGCTTAGTTAAAGCTACATTAATTTCCAGTCAATTCAAAATACAGAAAATAAACAACATTTGCCAAGTAGAAAAGCAAAACAACAACAACAACAAAAACCAGTAAGGGATGGGGTTTTTCTAAACGGGTCAATGAAGTCATCAGGATAACTCTGGAGCCTATCAAACCAAACTTGTACAGTACTGGCAAATTTGACAGGTGGCTTATTTAAAAAAAAAAAAAAAAAAAAAAGGCTCACTCGGTTGTTCATCTTTTCATATTTAAACTGCTCATTTATAGCAATTCAATATGTCTTTGGAGAAGCTGAGTTCATCACAGAACGAGCAGGTTTTTAAGGGTGAAGAGAAGGAAAAAAGGTGATCCTGAAGCAGAAAAAAAAAGCCACAGTGATATATATTGAAAAGTGGACAAGTGAAGTCAGTAATGAGGCAAGGAACAGATGAGGCAGTTATACTTCTATACACAGAGGTAGGAACCTTAAACCCAGGGCAGCCCTAGACTAGCTGCCAGCAACTGGCGCCATAGGCGAACCATGCAATCGGCACCCCCACCTCCAAACCCCTCAATGATATTACGCCACCATTTGGTGCCCCATTTAACTTGGCGCCCTAGGTGACTGCCTAGTTCGCCTATTTGGACAGGCCGCCCCTGCTTAAACCTGAAATAGCTACAAATGCCAATTAAAAATAGTGTATTAAATTTTAAAGAGCATTTCCAGAAACAGAGGCTCACCAGCTGTCCCTTGGACACATAGCAATGAGCATGCTTTGTATGCAATGCATGTCTTATTTCATAAAAGATGTTACTTTTGTCCTAAAATGCCAAGAAAACAGATGGTACTCCCCCTTTTCTGTTCAATTGCACTCTTTACTTTGAAATGCTGAATAACATTCAGGTTATTCTCACAAGAAAAAGGAGGAAAAATCAATTACAGAATAAAAAATTTTGCATCATTCAAACACTCTTGCACTTACTTGACTAAGTCATTGAAAAAATCAGAGAAAGTATTAACAATATTGGCTAAAAGCAGTGGTCTCCAACCTTTTTACACCCAAGATCACTTTTTAACTCTCAGAACAGGCGAAGATCTACCGCCCCGCCCCTTCCTTGAAGCCCCGCCCTCTCTATTCTCCTCCTGTCCATCACTTGCTATCCCCAGCCCTTACGTACACACTCTGATAAACAGTTTATTTTTAAATTATGCGATACATACAATTAAAATCACGTGTTTATAGCTATGAAATAAATGGTCTTTTTTATTCATGCTATTTAAATCTAAAATGAAGCATTTATAATTATACATTTTGTGGGGACAGAGCACTGCGGCTGGGGGCAGGGGAGAGGGGGCAGGGTGCTGGGAGGGCAGAGGACAGGTTTCTGCAGCTGGGGACACGGTGCCAGTGGGGACAGAGTTCAGGGAGTGGGGACGGGGACAGAGTTCAGGGAGTGGGGACGGCGATTCATGCTATTTAAATCTAAAATGAAGCATTTATAATTATACATTTTGTGGGGACAGAGCACTGCGGCTGGGGGCAGGGGAGAGGGGGCAGGGTGCTGGGAGGGCAGAGGACAGGTTTCTGCAGCTGGGGACACGGTGCCAGTGGGGACAGAGTTCAGGGAGTGGGGACGGGGACAGAGTTCAGGGAGTGGGGACGGCGTTCTGGGGATAGGGGAGTGGGGGCGACAGGGGAGGCAGAGAGTCCCCTGCATCTCCCTCCTCCCAGAATTCTCCCCCCCCAGGGAAACCAGCGCGTGCCTGCCCAGGGGGCCGACCCCCCCCACCCGCGCAGGGAAGCCCCGCGCGTGCGCCT